TACTTTTGGTCCACCCAATAAAGCATCTAACTCAACGCTACTTCTGACATTTTTGAGTTGAAAAAGCTTCCAGGATGTGAAGCAAAATGTCCTTAAATTTTGAAACAAAGTCCAGTGGATTGTTTCTTTTGGAACTAACATAAAAGATGAGGAAAGTCTCTAAAAAGGCTGAGGGAAGCTGATAACTGTTGCATTGGAGCTCATCCAGTGTAGGATAAGCAAACTGTCTCTGCTGAGGGGACAGACTACTCGCTGGACTACACTTCAAAATGATCTTCACTTTTTAAGCTGCACCAATGGAGACTCTCGTTTTCTCCCAGTTTTTATTCTGCTTTTTGTTTTGTTTCTCTTTATTAAAGCAAAATTGATTGTTGCTAATAAAAAGCTAAATTTGTGACACACTAAAGAAGTAGGGAAAAACTTGGAATTCCTTTTTAAGTTTTCTTCACAATAAACTACGACTTAATGATCTATCATACTAAACTACAAAGATTCTGGCAGCGAGAAAATGTGTCAAGAGGTGTGAATACTTTAACAAAGCTGCATATGAAAACAGGCAACCTGACACACACAGTCAAACAGACTTGAAAATCAAATGTCTTTTTGAACTCCAGCTATCTAATAGAATGAGACCTAAAAAAATAGCAAGTAACCCTTTATCCTTTGGAACAAAAGCAGGAAAAATGGACCATTCTGTGACTGCATCTCTAGAACATCCATCACTCATAAATTAGATAACCTCCAACTTCCTTGCCAGAGGTAATCAGTCAGAGTTGTAACGTTTCTTTTCAATTGGAGACACTGAAAATCTAATTCGTTGTAAGCTTCTAATCTTCCAAATTTCATTTTCTGAGAGAAATGTGTTACTGCCTGCGTGCGTTATGGAAACAATGAGCTGAGGAAACGGATTTTAATTTAACAAAGTACTCTTACGTGGTGTGATAGATGCACTCGCCTCCCCTGTTTCAAACTGCGCCAGAGGCAAGATTTACCTCTTTGTTTTGCAAACATACAACATAGTGGAGTTATCAATCAGTCACATACAAATATCTGTGTTGCTGTTAGTACTGAAGTGGCAAACAGGAGGGTGTGTGCAGCTTTTCTCCAGGAAACTGTCGGAACAAATTGTAACTCATCTTTCTACAGCTTTCTAATCTGTGTAAAAAGGACACTTGATATTCATAATGGTGAGATTTTAAACCAATTATTTATTTTAATTAATAATTGCTTTTCTATCAGCTTATTTTCACCTTTATTTCCTCTAAGTATTGACTGGACATTTTATCTCACAATTAAATTAAATTCAGTTTACTTCTAAAGCGCCAATTCACAACACGTCATCTTAAGGCACTTTATAGTTCACCAGATCATACAAATTGTTTCAAAGTTTTGTATCTAAGGAAAACCAGTTGATTTCAACGACTTATTGACTTGAAGGCAATCCCTCACACTAAGCATGCTTGTAGCGACAGTGGAGAGGAAAAACTCCTTTTTAACAGGAAGAAACCTCCAGCAGAACCGGACTTGGTGTGAGCGGCCATCTGCTGAGGCCGACTGGGGTTCAAGGAGACAAAAGGTTCGAGGAGACAGGCCAAGCGTGATGAGAGATCACCATTTTGCTTGGGGTAGTTAAGTATCATTTATCCACTAAGGTGTTAATAGACATAAATATTTTTCTCTAACATATAAACCCAGGAAGGTCCATTGAAAATACTTTGAATTCTTATTACAAATAACAATGGTCACATTTTTCTAATACTTTATCAGTTTTTGAGATTTTGGTCCGAAATATGGAGTTTTCAATTTAGTTTATTTCTATAGCGCCAATTCACAACACATGTCATCTCAAGGCACTTTATAGTTCAACCAGATCATATAATCAGATTAATTCATAGTTTTCTATTTAAGGAAAACCAGCTGATTGCATCGACTCATTGACTCTTCAATAATCCCTCACACTAAGCATGCTTGTAGCAACAGTGGACAGAAAAACAGGAAGAAACCTCCAGCAGAACCAGGTTAAGTGTGAGCGGCCATCTGCTGAGGCCGACAGGTTTC